GGCTACCTTAGTTGGTCTATCATACGGCTTACGTCGTTGACTACGAGCCTTGGAGGTCGCCTTTCCGGAGGAAGATGAAGCCTTCTCCGTACTCGGTCGTTTCTCCGCAGTTTGTAGTCCAACACAAGCCGCATAAGAGGTAGAAGGATCTACCAGACGAGAAGTCATCGTCTTCTTAGGTGAGGGTTGAGGACCCTCCGAGGATCGGATACGCTTCACAGATTTATCTGCTCTCCCAGGAGACGATGGTTCCTTCGCTGACTTCCCCTTCATCCTGTTTCGACCACTCTTGGATCCACCCAGCGCTTTTGCCTCCCCCTTGTCGTTAGGCGCAGAATCGGGTTTTGAGACAGAGCCCTCTGCAGGTTGTTCACCCTTATGGGTGACATTCTGTTTTGGGATACTCTCAGTAACCTTTTCTTGTGCATTCTTACACGGGTTCGGCTTGGAACTGGGCTTCAGGTCAGAGATCGGCTTGGCACCATTGTCAAAGACAGTGGGCTTCGCCAATTCTACTACTTTTGTGCGAGCAGTGAGATTCGGGAGGGAGATCTTTTCCATCTCGAGTTCGCGATGAAGAGCGTGAGGATAAATTCTTTCGAATTTCCTCACATATCTCATCTTACCCTTGATGAGGTGAACCTCCCTCTCCGAAATCAAATTCGCGTCTCGCCCCACGAATTTGCGAAGATACGAAACAGTACGCTTGTAATGTTTCGCATCGGTCACTTCCTGGGCCTTCCCAACCTTCGAGCCTTTGTCCGTTTCCGGGGGATCAACAGATTCCCCATCGTCGGACATCACCTCTGTAGCGGATTGCCTCCGAACTTTGTCGACTGGTGCCGACACAGGACCTGTTGAGGACGGACTGGAAGTCGGTCGGAGAATAGAATCCACACTTCTTTCGTCACTGCTATGACAATCCCCCTGTGTAGACTTGGCTGGGATCACCGTGGTGTCCAGCTCATCATCAGTTAGGGTAATATTTAATAGCAGTTCCTCCGGAAGCGTTTCCCCACATTGCTCTTCCGGTACAAGTCTGTCTAACTGGTCGAAGAGTTCCTTACATTTTTCCTCCAGACTATCACGGATAGCGCGTAGAGTCCCATGTAGGTCGTCCCCTCCCAGAACTACAGTCCTGTCAGCCAAAGACTGATTTTCATCAGTATTGACATTCTCGTTTGCCAAAGGAATGTCCGGTTCGTCAACGTTGTGGTTTGAATTTTGTACACTTGTAGCAGGTACGGCTGTAGGTGCCAAGGCATCCACACCTAGAACAGCCGGATCACAATCGCTTGATCTCGACGACACGTTTCTTGTGACCTCACCAACGATTAACGCCGGTACTGGGTTATTAACTCCCTGCACCGTAACTTTATTCTTTTTGCTTCTTTTACCCATCTTAGTTAATTTATTTAAGGGCACTACCCCTGATCCATTTTGGTCCACGGGGGATCCGAAGATCCCCAAGGTATCCATGAAGTGCATAGAAAAGTTGATCTAGGAGGCCTAGGTCAGTTTATTTCTGCACATCATGGAGAACCCCTTCCCGTCCGCCACCCGGGAAGACGCGCCTAGTAGGAGATTGGCAACTCCCCTAGGCAGTTTTTCCTTAGCAATAAACATATATTTTGAATTAGTAGAGATGCCACTTAGTATTTTTCAGAAATTATGTGAAATATGTATGTAAAAAATGCCAGATTATTTTTCAATTATTATTTTGCAATTAACTGGTGAAAAGTAAAAGGAAATTTATTTTTGATGACATGAATTTTGAACCAATTAAGCGGGAAAATTAACAGGGTTTAATTATCCGAGAAAATTTACATGTGTTTTCCTATGTAATATTTTTTTGCCCAATCATGTGGTTCAATTAAACGTGGAAACCAATTAACCTTAGGATCAATTAAACCGAAAAATACTGTATATATCGACGCCACCGAACCGTAGTATGCTAAGTCTGAAAAGTGAGTTTTTCAGTAGAAGCTTTCAAAGTATGGAAGTTTCTTTAATCGTACATGCCATGCTAAGTACATTTTTGCTTATAACTTTGGTTTGGATTGGCCGATGATTACCAAAATGTCAGTGAATTTAAATTAAGGACCGTAGTATCTGAAAACGAAAAGAACTTTAAAACATGCTAAGTCGACTTAGCATACTATGGTTCGGAGGCGTCGATATACACTGCGTATCATAACTATAGACGCACCCTTAATTCAATTGGTATGTTAGTTGAGAAATAAAATGGACCCATTAAGTTATTGTTCACAATAAAACGATCAAAAACACATATTATTCAACAAAAATAATTAATTTATTCTTTATGGTTTCGTTGAATTCTGCACTTTCAAAATTGCTGGTGTTGCATAACTATAGACGCACTTTTACAAAATTAGAAAAATTTATTTTTTAAAACTTAAATAAAATAAAATTACTTTTATAACTAATGGGTAGGACCTCCCTTATTTTGAATAAGTTCAAAAATTTTATCCATCACACTGTTGATCAAAATTATTCGTAAGTCTTCATCGATTGACCGCCATTAATCGAAAATCACTTCTTGGAGGTAAAATACAGTTTGGTATTGGAGGTTTTCGGCATAGACACGTTGAGTCAAGATTCCACACATGTTCTCGATCGGATTCTGGTCGGAAATTTTAATATTTTTCGATTTTAACCATACTTGAGTATGGCGACTTTTATGAACTGGTGCGTTGTCCTGCTGAAAAACGAGTCCTTGATTGTTGCTGCTTTCCCAAAATTGCAATAATTTGTCTTCCAAGACTTGAACGTACTCCATTGAATTCATTCGACAACATGGAAATGTCAAATAAAGGCTATAAAATGCTCCCAAGGCCATTAAGGAACCACCACCGAAATATCGTATTAAGAAATAACGATATTTAGGTAACCGCCACCTTGGGAGCATTTTATAGCCACGGAATGCTTTATTTGACATATCCACGTTGTCGGATGAATTCAATGGGGTACGTTCAAGTCTTGGAAGACAAATTATTGCAATTTTGGGAAAGCAGCAACAATCAAGGACTCGTTTTCTAGCAGGACAACGCACCAGTTCATAAAAGTCGCCATACTCAAGTATGGTTAAAATCGAAAAATATTAAAATTTCCGACCAGAATCCGATCGAGAACATGTGTGGAATCTTGACTCATCGTTTCTATGCCGAAAACCTCCAATATCAAACTGTATTTTACCTCCAAGAAGTGATTTTCGATGAATGGCGGTCAATCGACGAAGACTTGCGAATAATTTTGGTCAACAGTGTGATGGATAAAATTTTTGAACTTATTCAAAATAAGGGAGGCCCTACCCATTATTTATAAAAGTTATTTTATTGAAGTTTAAAAAAATTAATTTTTCTAATTTTGTAAAAGTGCGTCTATAGTTATGCAACACCAGCAATTTTGAAAGTGCAGAATTCGGCGAAACCATAAAGAATAAATTAATTATTTTTGTTGAATAATATGTGTTTTTGATCGTTTTATTGTGAACAATAACTTAATGGGTCCATTTTATTTCTCAACTAACATACCAATTGAATTAAGGGTGCGTCTATAGTTATGATTCGCAGTGTATATATGAGAAATCCGCCACCCGGGAAGACGCGCCTAGTAGGAGATTGGCAACTCCCCTAGGCAGTTTTTCCTTAGCAATAAACATATATTTTGAATTAGTAGAGATGCCACTTAGTATTTTTCAGAAATTATGTGAAATATGTATGTAAAAAATGCCAGATTATTTTTCAATTATTATTTTGCAATTAACTGGTGAAAAGTAAAAGGAAATTTATTTTTGATGACATGAATTTTGAACCAATTAAGCGGGAAAATTAACAGGGTTTAATTATCCGAGAAAATTTACATGTGTTTTCCTATGTAATATTTTTTTGCCCAATCATGTGGTTCAATTAAACGTGGAAACCAATTAACCTTAGGATCAATTAAACCGAAAAATACTGTATATATCGACGCCACCGAACCGTAGTATGCTAAGTCTGAAAAGTGAGTTTTTCAGTAGAAGCTTTCAAAGTATGGAAGTTTCTTTAATCGTACATGCCATGCTAAGTACATTTTTGCTTATAACTTTGGTTTGGATTGGCCGATGATTACCAAAATGTCAGTGAATTTAAATTAAGGACCGTAGTATCTGAAAACGAAAAGAACTTTAAAACATGCTAAGTCGACTTAGCATACTATGGTTCGGAGGCGTCGATATATATATATGAGAAATATTGCCAATTTTTTAACATAGCTGAATACGAGGTTCATCCCTTTATAACTCCGGAATTACTAAAGTACATGAGAAAAAATGAATAGTTTTGAATTCATTGATCAGTCGTTGCACACTTCTCCTGAAATTTGCCTCCAATGTTTATTTACGTGGATGTTGTGTCTACTTTAATGTAAAAAATTGGTAATAACTGGGTTTATATTTTTTCTCGATTTCACGGTCGAGGAGTAAGTCCCTTATGTATCGTTTTTCCGAAACATTTTCTGACATTGTGAAGCTCGATTTTGGGTGTTTTTTGAAATATTCCTCTATTTTCAATGCGCAATCACAAATGTCCAAAAATTAATTTCAGGATTGCTGTTATACTCGCGGATCTGAGTAATTTATATATTTTGTGTATGTAGTATGTACGGCTTCAGAGTGATATTCATCCAAAAGTTGAAATTTCTAGAAAACCTATTTTTCCAGCGAAATTTTTATATGTGTCATTTGATTCATATGGATACCCGGGATCAGTAAACTTTTTTACGTTCAGGAGAAAAAATCTTCTCCATGAAAATCTATCCATTGGAACAGCGGGAACATGCCTGCCAAAAATATAAAATTTTGCATTTTTTTTTTTTTTTGGAAAATATCGCGGATTTAATTGCATTTTCTGTGGATTATTTTGAACTTTTGCGAAATTTTAAATTCTGTTTTTTAATTTTTTGGTTCTAAATTACAAAATTTTTTATTATTTTTTTTTAAGGTCGTATAGGCACGGTTGTTGGTTGGGGAAGAACTTCAGAAGGAGGAGAGTTGCCAGCAATTATTAATCAGGTCAAAGTTCCAATAATGTCGATAATGGAATGCAGGAATCAAAAATATAAAAGCACCAGAATTACATCTACCATGCTTTGTGCCGGTAGACCGAATATGGATTCCTGTCAAGGTGACAGTGGAGGACCACTGATACTTTCTAATGGAGTTAAATATTTCATAGTCGGAATTGTTTCTTGGGGTGTTGGCTGTGGTAGAGAAGGATATCCCGGCGTATATACAAGAGTTAGTAAATTTATACCATGGATTAAATCAAATTTAAAAAATACGTGCTTATGTTCTTGACGTATACGTGCTTATGTTCTTGATAAATATAAACGAACTATTCTAAAATAAATCATCATTTGTTATTGAGCACAGAATTGTTTAGATAAAAATAAACTCTTAATTTCTTCAGATTTACTGGAAATGATTTTGTGTGATAAAGTAAGTATGATAAGGCGTTTGTCTTTAAAAATGTGCATCGTGTAAATTTTCGCATCACTCACGGCAATAAGGAACAGTTTTCTGCACCAACGCATGTACATATAAAAAGTTTCTGAGATTCCATTTCTTATGATTCTACAAATTGGTTAAGCAGAGAAGTTCTTATTTAAAATAACATACATTGTAATAATTTTAGTGGACCCACTATATCTATACATTTCGTGCCCACTTGATGAAACGTCAGGATCAATGCAATGAAAGTAAAAGATGTGTTCAGTCCAGCCCTTCCCATGGTAAAGGGAGAAAATTTTTGTAGCGTTCAAACTTAAAGATTCATAGATTGTATTATTAACAAAGGAGAAATATTTTATTTGTCACGTGTATGGTTTTTATGTATAAGATGAGCGTTGTACAAATATAACTTAAACTGCCAGCATTCCATTTATCAAATCACTTTCCTACAATAGTAAATAAACATACATTTAAGTTATACATATATTTAATATATGTGTCACTCGTTTAAGTTTAAGTTTAAGTGAAGTTGTACATCCGGCTTAGTTCTTTTTATACTTGACAATACACTTAAAATGTTGTACAACTAATAGATGTGTCTGTTTACTCCAAAGTCCAGTAAAATCAAGCGAAAGACAGTTACTGAGTGTCACTGGGTAAATTTCTTACAGTAAGATTTATCCAGCACAATCAGCCGGTAACTTTAAATTTTGACAAAAATGAAGAAACATTTTTTACTTTGAGATTTTTAATCCTTAACAAGTCTTAAAAGAACCTTTCAAACATTTTTAAATGAAATTATCTTGAAAAGAAAAATAAATGTGTTTTTCAATCGGGGAGACCGGCCAACTTCTACAGATAGTTGTCTTTGTTCCAAGGGCTATTTATGACAATCTTCAGTATACTCTACTTCTGCAGATCGTCTTGTACATGTGAAACCATGTCTTCTATTCAAGTCTTCCATAGACAACTCTCTTCGCCTACATATATCCCTCAACTGACTATTTGTGGACATATTTAGGTCAGAAATTCCTTCTCAAGATTTCAATCAAAGTATTGTCATCCAAAGGTCTATCAAGTCGAAACACTATACCTATCACGGCATCATAGCCTTCCATGATTGTGTTTTTGTTTCCAATCGCGAATTATTTCTGGAGTCTCTGTACTTTCGCCAAAGTGCACTGGATATATTACTCCATTTATGGGCTGCAGGGTGAAACCGCAAAAACCAATCGCTGCCTTTGCCACAAACAGAGCATTAACACTGCGGCAAGTATGTGGAACTGTCGTTGAACTTGATTTTCCAGTTACCAATAATTGTTAAACATTGATAACTTGGTTATTACTTGAAGAATGTAAACCAAATAACTTTTCTAATGTCCACTGCTCCACATCGCAAACATTCGGCATCGAAATACCATTTGTTGCGTATTTAAAATGCAGTCGTTAAATTTAATTCACTTTATTGGTTCAGCTTATTAACTATTCTTCAGTGAGCTTAATTACGCAATGCCAGAATGTGTAACATGTAATAAGATAGGCAAGTTATGTAGTGATGACAATGACAATCGTAAATCGGGATCGATATATCGATAAGCATAAGACTAAATTAGTTATACGTAACTACAATACATATCACTTTTCACTCCTCCAGCTGAAATTTTCAAGGGGAAAATAGGACTGGTCTCCGTCTCACCCGTGTAGAACGTCGAGGTGCTTGGGGCATTCGATCGGATTCGAAATTTCGATCAGGCTCCTGTTCAATTGGTGACAGACCCGCGCTGGCGTCTCGAATCCCAAGAAAGTCGATGGGGTAGACGGTGTGCCCGTAATCAACGACTCCTCAAACTCCCTGTTCTCGGCACCCGCCTCAGGGTTAATTACTTCCACTGTACTTCCGCTCGTCTCTGGATGGCTACTCCTTGATGAATTCATAGGTCCTCCGGCATCATCGTATACTTCTGGATTCTCATTATTTATACCTCTATTGCTTACCTCGCTAGAATTGGCGAATTTCTCACAACGACGAATTTGGTTCACGTGTCTCTTCACAACCTTCTCCCCATAACGTATTCCATAATGAATATCTCCCAGTCTCCTTACTATCTGACCTCTCAACCACTTGCAGCCATTTTTGTTATTCGCCAAAAAAAACACGCTTTGTGCCTCCTTAAAGCATCTGTAATTGGGCTTGGTATTTAAAAACTGTTTCGATGTTACCTTTGAATATATCTTTTCTGGTCGCAACAAGTCCGGGTCGGTTGGACTGTGATGGTGACACATTGGTGGTACTGTGCGGTGCATTTTTAAATTGCCGTAGGAATTCATTCAAATTTTCCCTTAAATTGCCGGATGTAGTACCCATAGCCTTCAATGCACTCTTTACCGTCTGCACTCCTCGCTCTGCTTGTCCATTTGTTGCTGGGTGATAAGGGGCTGTATATTTATGATAAAGGACACCTACCGTGTTTAAATACTCATTGAACTCCATCGAAGCAAAATTGGTTCCATAAGCAGTAAACACCTCGTCTACCAACTCAATCATCGTTCTCGTTACCTTCACATCCATCCATTTGCTATAAGCGTCAGTCACAATCAACAACATCATTCCTTCAATAGGACCAGCATAGTCTAAATGTACTCTCTCCCAGGGTCCTTTGGGGTATTCCCAGTGATGGTTCTTGTACTCTCTTGGTTTGTTAGCTACTAGCGAACACTTCACACAGCTTCTAGCCATATGCTCAATATCCATGTCGATCTTGGGCCAATAAACGAATGATCTGGCTATACCCTTCATCTTTACGATACCGAGATGGGCAGCATGCAAACTCTTTAAAACTCTGTCTCGTAACTTCTCTGGAATCACAACTCTATGCTCAAATGTTAAACAGCCCTCCGATAAATTGTAATGCGCTTGTGGCGATGAATATCCATATTTAGAAATGCAATGACCTTGCTCCCACAGCTTTCTGGTCTCCAAAGCAATTTCCTCCGCCGTAACCGGTAATTGGTTTATTTGAGATATTATAAATGAATCATACCCATCACGGTCTAAGCCGGAAAGCATTCCCTCGGTCTCTTTCACTTTTGCGACTCGTGATGGCTGCGGTGTTGCCCGTGACAAATAATCTGCATTCGCGTTCCCTTTCGACGTCCTGTATTCCACCCCAAAGTTGAAATTGCTTAAATAATCAGCATAATTGGCCATCCTCGAAATGCAAAGTACCGGCAATGACTTATCTTTTTGCAGAATTTTAGTTAACGGCTTGTGATCAGTAATTAATGTCCATCGCCTTGCATATAAATATTTAAAGAATCTCTGCACAGCCCACACAATGGCCAATGCCTCCTTGTCTATCTGAGGATAACGCTGCTTGTTGGATTCATTACTCGACAGGCATAGGCAATTGGCTTTTCCTGGCCATTTCTCAACCTGTGTGACAGAAATGCGCCCAACTCCGTTGAACTAGCATCTGTGGCCAAAATTAGAGGCAACTTCGGGTCGTACGGTATATGTACCTGAGGTGAAATAAGAATATGCTCTATGTCATCATACGCCTTGCTCGCTTCCTTCGACCATACAATCTTCTTCGATTTTAACATATCTCTTAAAGGTGGATAACCCAGGAATGAACGCACTGTAGTATGATGCCTTTCACAAAAACAACTGAAGCTCCTCTATAGTTGTTGGTTTTGGTGCATCCCTTATGGCACTTACATGTTTGGAAGATTTATGTATTCCCTTCGCATCAATCACATGCCCCAAAAACTCTACAGATGAAGCCGCAAACACACACTTTTTTCGGTTTAATTTTAACCCCGACACCCGTATTCTTTCCAATGTCACGTTCAGAATATGAATCAGTTCTTGAAAATCTTTAGCGAATATTAGTATATCATCGAAGAAATTTACAACATTTGGTATTCCTGTAAGACCACTTCCATCTTCCTCTGCCATATTGCTGGTATATTTGCTGCCCCGTAAACCGCACGTTTAGTGCGAATCAACCCGTGTGTAATTGTATTTAAGGTTAGAACATGTGCAAAGTCATCATCTATTGTCAGGAGCATGCATCTTGTTGAACAGATCCTCTGCCTTTGGAATAGGATGCTCATCTATAATTATCTGACGATTCACTGTTGGTTTATAGTTACCCGTAATTCGTATCATACCATTCTTTTTCGTTACAACATGGGTTGTGGAGGCCCACTCTGAAAACTCCACTTTTTCATACACCTCTGCAGCTAATTTGGCATCTATCTCCCTCGCATACGCACTCTTAACGCCAAGGGCACTTCTCTCGCCCTAGCAAAGATTGGCCTTGAACCCGTCTTTAAATGCACTTTGGCTGGTGGTCCAACCAGCTTACCAGCTGTCTCACTAAAGACGTCCACAAAACTATTAATCACATTCTCCAATTGGACCTTTTCATTTGTATTTAGGGATGGCACATCTAAAACAACACTATTTGTCATGCCCATCAGCCGACTATCATCTGTTGTTCTTGTAAACAAACTAACGAAATTGATGTCGTGCGCAAAACGTGTAATCCATTCCCTACCAAACAGACTATCGAACTCACCATCCACCACATACAAATTCAACCTCCGCTTCGTCTTTCCCACCGTCACATCTATCACCACTGTCCCAACACAATTTATTCTATGGCCGGTGTAACTGGAGAATTTCCTATCTGACTTCAACAGCTTTGCATTACTCACTACTGCTCTCCGTGTTCTCTCATTGATGATGCTACATGGCGCTCCCGTATCCAACTCCATTTGCAAGCTCACACCATTTATGTCAACATCAATCATTTTCCGATCAACACCCTTTGCACTGCTTA